ATACAGCAAGTACAGAAAGAGTCCATTCAGCCTGTTGTGGCTGCCCTGGCTGTTGTACCTTTGTGAGGGAATCCATTTTGTCCATTGCTGTCTGTCTAGAGAGATTTAACTGCAGTTGTAGCCTCCTGTTGCCTTGCATGCAGCAGTCTTTACAAATGGTGTGTATGTTTGTCAGTATAGAACAGATTCATCCATGTTGTAATAAAAGCAGAATAACTGTGGATGCTGGAAATCTGAAACAAAAATAAAAAAATGTTGGAGAAACTTGGGTCTGGTAGCATCTGTGGAGAGAAAATCCTGAGTTAACGTTTCAAGTCTGAACCATACCCCTTTTTCCAATACAGATGTCCCATTCAAATATTTTAAAGTATTTGTAAGTACTTTGGCGGATGCTGAGAGATGGTATGTAGGAGGACGAGTCCACTGCCAAGTGGGAGGATAACTCTGAGGATCTCACCTCTATGTACAATTTGTCTGTATATCTGCTGTTGATCCTTCAGGAAGGTCGGCTGAGGGCAGTAGATTGTGTATGTGCATGCATGTGTATTTATCCAAGAGTTACAGTAGGTTTTAGTTCCTCTAGTTCTTCCTGGCTAACTATTGAGTTAAATCAGTCAGAACTCTCTATGAAGTCTTTGCCTCCCTAATAAGTAGGGTGCATTTACAGGGGTGGAGAGAAATGTTCAGATGCTGCATAATTGCCACTTTTCAACTTCTCAGGACAGACAGAGCATCAAGACTTCTGCATGGTCTCAACACGTTTTTGCACAGTGAGAAAGATGGAGCAGAGAATTTTTTGAGGTGTGTGTGTGTGTGTGTGTGTGTGTGTGTTTTCTTGCAGATTGGGTTAGCCAGGAGATCAGTCAGCCCCTTCCACAGACTGTTTGCTCCCTTGTGCCATGTGAGGTGATGGTGTTGAGTGGGAGTGTGGGCACTAAATCCAGAACTTTATCAGAATTTCAGTGAGTACCAATCCTGTAGTTTACTCTCATCTTCAGTGTTTGAGGAATGTAAATGTCAGTCCCTCCAGCTTCCTGTTCACCTCTCTTCCCAACATTCTTGAGCACAGATGGCAGATTCATACAGAGCTCAGCTTTCATGTACATATTGATGCTATGAGAGGTGTGTTTCGAAACACTGCAGCACTTCTGACCCCTCCTTATCTACAGAGAACGTGTTCCTTTTAAACTGAAAGGAACAGAGATAACCAGTGAACCTTGGACACTGCAATGTTATCACATGCACCATTAAGGCAGGTGAATCTTACTCAACACATCTTGTGACCATGAGCAGAGAGACTGTTTCATTATCTCTTGGAATTCTGCAGGAATGATGCAGTCATAACACATGCATCCTCCCACTTGGCACTGGACTCGTCCACCCTTGTACCTTCTCTCAAAGTACTTACAGGTACTTTAAAATATTGGAATGTGGCATCTGTATTGGAAAAAGAGGGTTTGGTCCCAACACTGATGCACTCTACTGCTGACTGCATGAATTCTGGGCCAGGACTAGACTGCTTCAGTTAGGTAGGTTCCTGGTCTGGAAGTTCACACAGAGAAAGCCTCCAAAGGTAACATTTCCCACTAACTCTGTCTGGTCTGAGGACGTGGGACAATGTTAACTATAGCAGTGTGACTTGTACTTTGTTACTAACTTGCAACAAACTACATCATTTCAGCCTCTTCTCAGTTACCCTGTGGTTTTCCTGTACCACACTGTACCAAGCAGGCCCTGTAGATCTACCAGGAAAGAAAATGAGGGCAGCTGGTGTGCTATGTCCCATAGCATGCAGTATATTTTTAAGAGATTTATATGATATCCTCACCATGACATGCCGTGTGACCTGAGGGTATAAAGGACTTGGACTCCATCTGGAGCCATTTGCTGCTGAAAGTGTGCTCCTTTTTCTAACTGAATAGCTCAAAAATATAAGCCCAGAAACTAAAGTGGCTGTGATTGTGAAGTATATTATAAACCAGGAGCTACATTAAAACATCTGTTGAAGCATTCAATGCAACATTACTAGTTCTTGTGTTACGGGAGCCAAAGTAAGCACGCCACATCAGGTGTAAATACTCTGCTGGAGGTAAAGCCCACACCACAGTGACAGTTAAGTAGCAAACCAACCCCACGATGAGCAATGAGGCAGTGGCTTCGGTGTTGGATACTTGGTGGGTCCAATCTGTCCCTCCTTGCTATGGTGGCGATGCAGTGGCGTCGGTGTTGGCTTCAGTATTGGCAGCATGGTGGGTCCAATCTGGAAATCCTTTCTTTGGTGGCAGTGTCCCATAGCCAGTCCACAAACCCAGAAGCTGTGGATGAAGTAAAAGATGAACTTTGAACTTTGTTTTAAACTTTGTCTCAATTTCTTTCTTTTAATTTCAGTAATTAAAGTGACGTCAAAGTGTGGTGACTTACATACATCTCACTGTCACTTGTATTTATGAAATAAATACTCTACCCTACTACCCTCCCATCGAGTGATAGTACAGCTTCTGTTTTGCTGCTTCATGCCACACAATAGCTGGTGTAATCCTTAAGACTTGTTCAGAAATATTTTTAACAATCTTGCTTATAGAAACAGGCATTAGGAAGAACTGAACATTCAAGAACTCTACAGAAGAAATCCTCATGGCAAGATGCAACAAGGCAGAATCTACAGTTGGTAATAAGAGCATTACATACCAGGACAGGGGCCCACAGCGGCAAGAAAAGGTAGGAACTCCCTGGAGCTAGAATATCAGGCTCTCCACGGCAAGCACAGATTGTATCTGGTAGCGCTGTTCTGTAGGTGTGGCCCTGAATCAGGGATTCCGAGCAAGCTGTCATCGGAGACTTCGAGTTAAAATCCCTGATGGGCAAAGGGTATTTTCATTACTGGCAGGAAAAGCTAGATATAAAGAAAAACACTTGCAGCTTAGGTCAAGTGTTGGAGACATTGCATGCAGGCACCATAAGCACAATTAGAATAGGGAGCATCAAGTGTCACAGAATAATTGAATTAATAAAGGGGCATTCAGAGTCCCTGCAGACAAGATCTAATGAGAAGAAGGAAGTTAGTAGACTTTCATAAGGCTGTAGAAAAGGCAGGGGATGAATTGTTAAAACTGAAGGAGAGGTGGGAAACATTTATCAAAACCACACGTAGCAGGAATCATTCAGGACAAAAACATGGAATAAATGAGGAATAGTATTGGAGTCACAAACAGTAGGAATTAGCGGGGCGGAGAGAAATGATTTTAGCTGGCATCGTTATTAAAGCAACAGGCAACCTTTAAGGAAATAGAAATAATTTTATTCAGAGAATAGTGGCATTCGTTTAGTGAAGCCACAGGTAACATCCATTTTAGTTGTGAGAAGGCAGGAATCCTCCATTTGGAATAAAGAGGTGCTGAAAATCCTTGCATTAGCAGTGCAAAGCAGCATTTCTATTATTAATAAAATACACATCCTATAAGCAAGGAAAATAAAGGATTTCAGTAGGAGGACATGACATCAGAAATAATATCTCCAGGATAGCTTCCAAATTAGATACTAAATCCGAAAGTAAACAACTTAATACACACTATATATACAGTTGGAAGTATACGCTTATGTCTCATGAGAGAATTTTAAAAAAAATCTTAATGGTATCAACAGATTAATGAAGAAACCAAATCCAGAATTGAAGCAATAGAGATATCCTTTGCAAAGAAAATCCATGAGATTAAAGGTGCTCCATATGTTGCAATGGGGTGGTTGCCTGTATCCTCAGGAAAGACATTCTCGACAAAAGAAATCCAAGCAATGAAATGCCTTACAGTCTAAAGGGACTTTCAGCCCTCACTGTCTGGACTAGAGTCTTAAATTAATAGTCTGCAACCCAGAGACCCCCTACCAAACTTTCAAGTGCAAAAAGAACATGTTCTGAGAGAATAGTAAAACCACCAGGCTGTCTGAAAATGTGAAGTAGAAAATGGGACCAGTGGCAAATGTAATTGATATGCAGAAATGTATAATATTAGTAGTGGGGGAACAGCTTGGGAGTGATATTGTCAAAAAGTGAGAGTACCTTTTAAAAAAAAAAAAAAAAAAAAAAAAGTTAATAATGAGGAGAGCCTTTTGTACCATCATTAGAATGATATTGTACAGACATCGTGGGAGAACAACTTAGGGTCTCAAAGGAGTAAGACCTATGTCGTATCTGTAGTCTCTGCAATGGTATCTATCATATTAGTGTAACTTTTAAATAACATGGAACTTTGCTGCTGCTGTCCTGGTCACTTATATCTCTCCAAAACACATCGTTGTGCAAAACAAAACAGTCAGTTTTATTATGTGCCTACCTATCTGTCTGTGACTGCCAATAACTCGTTGTCCTGATCTCTGAATGAGAGACCGCTTCAGTGAGTGCTACCACAATATTTGTTTGGATCATTGATCTGTCGTGAAGCCAGTGTTATTTAATACCTGAAGACATTTTGAAGTAATCATTGTGAAGAAATAGACCCCATCAAGGAATGGTTTAGTTACAGCTTCTGCTTTCACTTCCTATTGGCTGCATTAGCTCTTAAAATTCAGTACATTGCTCTCGTTTTGAGACTGTCATTGGAATTTTCAATTGGCACTGGGTGACTTTAGAACTATTGACAACCAGGGAGACCACTTGACCCATAGAATTTATACCATCTCTTTGCCAGTGAAATCTAAAACAAATCTCAGTACTGCCTTACACTCTCCCCATAATCCTGTATCAATCCCAAACTGAACTCATTGTCCCTTTCTCTGTTTCTATTGCCCAGTATCAACCCAATGACCAGCTCTCACCCCATAACTTTGAACTGATCCAACCTGCTCCACTCTCTCCACCACCCCATTATCAATCTGTGCCTTGAGTACTTTATATTTTGCTTTGGAATGATATGGTTCAGTTAGAGACCAAGTCATTCTCGACGTGCCAACAACTTTCTTAATGGGAAGTGATTTCTTTGAAACCCCTCCTCTCGGGTCGATGATTCCTCATTACTAATACCCTAAACAGAGGTAATAATCTTTTGGTACTTCAAGTCTTAAGAATGTAAATATCTATAATAAATCTCTGCTGCTGTGGTAACAGTCCCAGTGTTTTTAAATGTCTCTCTTTGACAATAGTTTCCAAACCTCAGCATCACGCTAGTGAACCAACACTGTGTAGTCAGTCTGGCTTTAATGTCGTCCTCCTGGTGAGTCTTCACTGCCAAACCAATCCTTTGAATAGATCTCCATGTCTTAGTGAAAGTGATACATTCATTTGGTGAAAGTCCAGATAATATTAGCTTTGATGAAATTATAGTAAGTGATTGATTGAATTGCTAGTTACAGTAGTTTCTGTCTGAATGTTACCATTTCCTCTCAAACTGATGGCTGTTACCTACCGGCAACTGCAAATGACAATAGTGTTTTGAGGAAGGAGGTGTCTAAGGTAAATTATATAGTGAGGTAGAATGAGTGCAGTGCAACTAAAGCTCTGCTAATCGAAGAGTCAACAGAGACAGGATGTGTATTTCTGTAGACCCTTTTGCAAAATCAGGATATTGAAGTGTAGTCACTGTTGAAATGTAAGAAACAAGATGGCTAATTTTCCCACAGCAATATCTCAGAAAATCAACGTTGTTCCGGTTGTCAAATCTGTTTGTGATGTTGGTTGAGCGATAAATATTGACCACAAGGTACCTTTTCTTTGAAAAGTTTGGAGAGACCTTTGGCATCAACCTGAGCAAGCAGAAGGGACCACTGTTTATCAGCGCTTCTGAAAAATGGCACATCTAATAGTGCTGCACTTCCTCAACACTGCCCCACCAACAGAGGAAAAGTTATAATTTGACAACATGTTGAGTGTCCAATTCCTTTGACCCAACATCTTGTTTCAGTGCTGTTTATGCTGTTAAGGTATTTTACAGCAGGGCTGAATTGTAATGACCCAACAAACATTCCCAGGACAGATACATGGGGTTCAATGCAGTATAAAATTTGTTAAACTAGCAGTTTGATGTGCTCGTCCCACTGTGCCTGTTCAAAATGCAGCAGATAGTTTTGTCTGTGATTCTAAGGGTTATAAAGTTGATATGTAGGTGCACTTTCCCAGAAGTTTTCAATGCTGTGTCTATCTCTGCAGTAAGCTCTAATAACTTGGCATGAATGTGGTTTTGGGCTTGCAGTTTTCCAGTAATATGCTGCTAGTCCTGAAGTAATTAAATTCTTACTTTAGAAAGCTCTCCCATCTCAAACATTGGGTGGTCTTATTGAGCACTAAATCCTTTTCAGTGGTTGCTATGTTACGGTCAGTGTTGTTCAATACATTGTGATAATGGGATTTCTCTGAGGCAAGGTTTTAATTGTGCTCTAACTGAGGCTACAGCTCTCATACCACTAGCATACCACCAGGCATATGAGAGTACAAGAGCAGAAACATATCGGGCTCACTTTATTGACTGTTGCTGTTGTGAATTGTAGTGATGTCTGGTCAGGAAAGTGTTTTGAAGGCAGTCAGTAAGTTTTGAGAACTAGGCTGTGTGCTTGGTATGGAGGTTCAGTCATGATGTCTGTATGATGAGTTGATATGTTTGAGGTCTGTGTTTCACAGGATGGTGTGTTTACAGGGTTGCTGTGTTCAATATCTCTTTCATGGTGGGGTGTGTTTGGGGGTCTGCCTTTCACTGGTTGGTGTGTTTGGGGGTCTGCGTTTCTCAGGGTGGTGGTTTATTCACTTGCAGTGCTTGAGACTTATGGCTCGGACTGGAAACACGGCACGAATACTAATGAGTGGTGCTTTGTTTTGTTTTGCAGGACCTCTTCCACAACTGATTGTGAATGGGGATATCGAACAGAAGGTAGAAAGCTCCTTTTACTTTGTGCAGTCTCGCTGATCTGAAACACGTTGTTTATAGAATTTAGTGTGCAAGTGTAAAGTATAATCAAATCAAAACTGCTTGCAACCTCCCAACGCAGTGAAATTGTTCCTTAGCTGGCCATTTCCTTCCTTGTCAATGTGCTTTTTACACACGCAATGAAGATGTACTTCTTTAAAACAATCATGGCAATCCCATTTGGCATAATTCTTGAATTCCATCAACATTTGGGAAGAAAACAATCGTGGCTAGTTTCATCACTTGAGCTGTTGTCTCTAACAGTGCAGCCAAACAAATAGCTTTCTCTCCACTTCTCCTGCTCCTCAACTAAATTTTAGTAATTAATGAAAAAGGAATTAAAATTCAAAATGATTTTCCTCCTGGGTTTGCAGTATTCGGAGAACAGTTCCAAGAGACACCAGGATAATCTTGCAGGGTTGGCAAAC